TTATTACTTACTTGAATCGCAAATGAATGGCAAGTAATTTTCAATATTAATATGTCCCACAGAATATTTGGAACATTCAAATGTAAGTAGGCATGCTGTATTATATCTGGCAGTGTTAGTCTCAGAAAGACACTGTGAAGAACACAAAAGTGAGTTTGGTTTTGTGTGTGTGTGTGTGTGTGTGTGTGTGTTATCAGTGCTCTATAGGAAAGATCAGATTCTTATATGGAAAACAACAGAACCTCCCACCTGAGATTAAGCATGCCAAACCAGAGAGGATTAGGACTTGATTTGCACTTAAGATTCTGAGAGGAAACAGCTTTACACTGGGTCCTGTGACTTGTGGTAATGACTAGAAAAAAATGGGAGGTTGCATCCAGTCTGGAATGCCTCAAGCAATCACCCCACATTTCCTCACCACAGCACATATCCTACTAACAAACAAAACAAGTTTACGGATAGCTGATGATACAGTTGCCAGCCTGAAATCATCTCAGAGTCTAAAACTGAACATTTTTCTGACAAATACTGTAAAGGTGTTTCAAGAATAATATAGCAAGAATGGTTGTTGATGTGGTCAGCATGGCCCAAGGCAACCAAAGATAGCCAGGATGAGTCAGGTATGAGAACAGTCCCCCTCCAGAGTAAGTCCCATACCCCTAGATCAGAAATATTGTGAATAATTGTCAAGCCAGGACACCCTGAACTTAAACCAGTTGAGTTTACCTTAAGGTTACTTACATCTTATTTCTAATTTTACTGCTAAAAAAATTATAAGATTCACCATCCTGTACTCTTGATTATTTGTACCTATAAACAAAACTTAATATTTCTCTTAGATTTCTCTTAATTCATTGATTCATTATTTAAGATCATTTGGAGTGATAATTCTGACTTTAATGTTTTGTCTCTCAGAGAAATTTATTTTAGATTTTAAACATTTGATTCTTCTACCAAATATGAGCTTTATGACAAGATTTCTACCATGGTTTTGATCTTATCACATTCTTCCTCACCATAAAAAATAAAAGGACACAGAAACGTTGTAAAAATTTCTAAGTAATCTTTCTTTATCTCTCTGTCAAGAGCAGAAATAGAGACCAGAAAATTAATATTTTTATTAAGAAATTTAAAGATTACAAAAGAAATCAAATGGAAAAATATTCCTAATGCAGAACTACTGCCATCTAAAGGTTTCACACAGTATTACAAGTCAGCTTTGGTTCTACTTGGCTGAATGGCTATTTTAAGTACCCTAGGAATTGATTTTGAAGCATTTGTATGTATTCTCACTTTCTTTTCAAATTATTAACAAATTACACAGATCAGAGATTTTTAGATCATCTTGTTCCATATGAGATTTCAACATCCCAATTTTAACTTAGAGTATTAGAAAAGCACATTTTAAACTGATGAAAGCAAACTCATTTTTCCTCTTTCCATAGTAACAGCTTGTTAAAAAAATGATTTCATTGCAGATGTCAAGATGCCATAAATCCAGAAAAAGTCACTTACTGAATTATTTTGAAATAAAAAATAAGCTAATTGATCATAAAGTTTTCAATAATAAATGATAAATTAACTGAAAATCATAGGCTAAAGTTTCTAAAGTATAATAGTATCCTTATTAAAACATAAGTTAGTTTTAATGATGAAATTCAATTTTAGAAAATCTACAATATTGCAAATTATTTGAGCTTTCATTTTCTAAATTATTAGGGAACTCTATAAACTCCAGGAAAGGAGATACAAAGGGGTAGGGGAGGAAGGAAGGAAGGAAGGGTGGGAGGGTAGGAGGGTGGGAGGGTAAAAGGGAGGGAGGGAGGGTAGGAGGAAGGAAGAAAGAAAGAAAAAAGAAAGGAAGGAAGGAAGGACAAAGGAAGGAAGGGAGGGAGAGAAAAAGAGAGGAAGAGAGGGAAGGAAGGGAGAAAGAAAGAGAAAGAAAGAAAAGAAAGAAGGAAGGCAGGGAGGGAGAGGAAGGAAGGAAGGAAAGAAGGAAGGAAGGAAAGAAGAAAGGAAGGAAGGCAGGGAGGGAGGGAAGGTGAGAAAGAGAGGGAGAGAAAGAGAGGAAAAGAGGATAGGAAGGGAGAAAGAAAGAATGGAAAAAGAGAGAGAGAAAGAAAGAAAGAAAGCTTTTAAGCCAGGCATTGGGAGCTCACACCTACAATCCTAAGCTACTGAAAAAGCTAAGATCTGAAAATACAGGTTTGAAGCCAGCCAAGGGAGATAAATTTCTTCTCTCCAATAAACTAGCAAAAAGCTGGAGGTGTGGTTCAAGCAATAGAGAGCCAGTCTTGAGTGGAAAAAGTCAAGTAGGAGCACAAAATCCTTAAGTCAAGTCCTAGTAAAGCTCCCTCCAAAAAACTAACACCCAAAAAACCAAGGATGAAAAAAAACCACTGTAATTTTACATGGTATTAATGTTATACATAAGCATAAGGATCTAAATTTGAAAAGTGAACGAACAGCATCTCCCAAATCATTTCCTTGAAGAATCTTTCAAATGGAAAATATGTTTTGTTACACTGAATACAACATCAAGTAGAATAAAAGCTCATTCAGGACTACCTTGGTCAGACTGCCTTAACACAAAGGATGGCTTCAAACAGCAAAAATCACTGTCTCTTAGTTCTAGAGGCTAGAAAGCTCAAGATCACAGTGACACTGGGTTTGGTTTCCAAGTGCAGTCTCTCTCTTCAGCTTGTAGTCATCTTATCCCTGCCTCCTCACACAGCCTTTTTTTCTTTACTTGAAATCTGTGTCTCTTCTCTTTTTGCAGGGCACTAACTCTGATTAGAGCCTCAATACTGTATTTATGTAACCAAAGTATATTCCTTTTTTTCAAATACACTTACATTAAGAATTAGGGCTTTACTGGGCCCCACACTAGTGGCTCACCCTTGTAATCCTAGCTAAGGCTGAAATCTGAGGGTCCTGGTTCAATCCTCCAGCCCAGTCAGGAAATTCTGATAATATCACCAAAAGCTGAAAGTGGAACTATGGCTCAAGTGGTAGAATGACAGCTTTGAGTGGAAAAAGCTAAGGGACAGTGCCCAGGCCCTAGTTGTAAGCCCCAGTACACACAACACACACACACACACACACACACACACACGAATTGGCAGGGATACAATCCCTCTGCAATACTGATATAATCAACATATCACCCAAACTGATTGATATATGAGTAAAAAACAAACTTTTAATACATAACTGCTAAAAAGCTAGTTTCTAAAAGTTTAATGTGCAGTGAAAAGGAAGCGTCTTTATTTAGAAATAAACCTTATGAAAAACATATAAATGCTAGGATTGAAGCTTGGGGTTCTGTACAAAAATGATGGAAAAGAGGACGCTTGTTCTTAGAGGAATTACACTGAGGTGCCAGACAGTGGAAAGAAAATGGTAGGTGGAGCTGAGGAGTATGAGTCTCCAGAAAGATAGGATTGGCTAGTTTGCAAACTTCTCCCACTAGGAAGGTTTCTGGGTGCACCTAAGGAATATAAGAAGCTTAACCGTCATTATTCAACAAGCAAATATGACTGCTGAAGAACATGTCTAATAGTCTATTCCAGTCTCAGGGCCACCTGAGGGAAACAGAGGGGGGTTATTTCTTAAAGAGTACTGGGCATTCCATCCCCACCTTCCTTACAAAGAATTTCCTATCCTCGTTTCTGCATAGAAAGGGAGATGTGTAAAGGAAAAAAAATGCTAAGTGATGAAGACACAAAACCTATTATACTTTTCCTTCTGGCAATAGATGTACTCAGATATTTGCCAAACTAAGAGACTCTCTAATGGGTCTGTCCCCATGCTAAAATAAGATCTCTTCCAAGGAGATTTGTGGCCCTATCAAGAAATCTGATTTGGCAGGTACTCCTGTGCAGATGAAAAAAAAAATGCTGAAATTGTTAAAGCCCCCATGACCAACAGACAAGAAAAGGGAAATGGATGGAATCTGCAAAACAATACTACTTTTTCTCTTCTGGTTCACAGACAGTAAAGAACTGGTTTTTGGGCACTTCTTGAACAACTCAGTCTTCTTGAAGATTCTTACCTGTTCCTATTCCAGAGATTTGTTTTATGGGTTATGATAGAATAAATTCTCAACGTATTCAAATGAGTCCCACTAAGTATTAGAAGAGTCCTACCTGATTGCACTATCTATTGAGCTAAATGAATCCTTTGGTCTATCTGCCTCTTAACACTATCTATGAGAGTTAAATTTATTTTTTGGACTAATTATATTTTCATCATAACATGACTACTGGTTTTCCTATTCAGCCAACTGTTCTTTTAAAGTTTAAACAGAACTATAAAGATAATAGATTTGCATTTTCACTTTTAAATAAGGAACTGGGTGGTAAAGATTTTAATTTGTCTTTCACATCCAGGTACTCTGAAAGAATCAGATACCCGATGTCATCCATTGCCAATAATGATTTCACTTCACTTCTTTGTATCTCAAGTGACACTAGTTATACACACTAGTCCCTGGAGGAACTGAACGATTCGTCGCTAAAATCATTTTGTACTGTCCAAAACTTTGTGCTTGAAAAATTCTCTGTTGTGGTAGGACATTCTATATATTTCTATAGCGTTTTCTAATGTCCCTTCATAGAAAAATTAATTATAATTAAAAACAAGGATCATCAAGTAACCAACTCTGGCCAGGTAGCATCTTACGAAGTGGTACCTGAGAATATTATATATATATAGATATATATAGATATACATATATCCACAGATATAGCTTTATCCATATAGATGTATTAGAAATATATATATTAGTATATATCATACATATGCGCTCTAGGGTATTGTTAAAAGGTCCGCTTTTCATCTGAACAATGTATGATTAATCAATCACCCCTCGTGAGTGAAAAGCCCTGTTAACTGTAGGCTAATGGCTCGGTCGGCTGTTTGTGTGTCGAGTTCTCTCCATTCTCTCGCACAATCCCACAGACACGAATAAAGGGTGGGGTTTCCGCGGCACCCTCAAGATGCCCGGGAGTCCCAGCGCATTCCGCAGTAACTCCCCAGCTCCGGCGGTCCTGGCTCCGCTCCTCTCGCCCGCGGGACTCGTAGCCCGGGGTCCGGGAGGATGCGGGGTCCGGGCCGCAGGTGTCCCGGGCGATGCCTCCTCCCTGGACCGGGCCGACCAGCCGGCGGCGGGCGCGGCGCG